CTTGATTTCCACACATGGAGTCTCGTGGTCTTTCTTTCCTAATTAATTAATGAAGAGGTGTTGACACCGCCCTTCTCCCAAGGACTCAGGGCGGCGTACAACATTAGAAGAAACACATACTACAAAAGTTAAACCCAATTAAAATTAACAATGACACATTTTTTTAAAAGAATTCAAATTAAAGTTAACAATAATCACATTAAAAACAAGCAGAGCTTCTACTGCACCATTATGACTGCCATCTGTGGGTCATACTCTGTGGATGCCCCTGAAGCTACAGCTGAAGGACACTACTGTCCTGGAAATGTTGACGTGCTTTAGGAATCTTCATTTGGAAACCCACTTTACCAAGCAGAATGTATTGCCTTCTGGGTCACTCCGTTGGAGGAAGGCCCACCTAAACATCCTCCTGAAAACCAATGCAATTCCGAACATTAGTCCTTCGACCTCTGCTTGCTGACTTTAGATTCTGCTTTGAATTTCATGCCTGATGGGCCAACCATATTTCTTCAGCTTTCCACCCTGAGACTGGGTCCTATAGGCTGGCTGTTGCTGCTCCTCCATCTGTTCTATCTCTCCCCACCCCCTACACACACACACATTGCTGGAATTGGATGCAAATTGCTGGATATCATTGTTTGGTATGGGGTTGGGAGAGATTTAATGTGCTTGGTCAGTGCCGAGTTGGAAATTTTTACATTCATTTTCCCATTGCCGGAGGGCCTGTGCCTGAATAGCAATGATCTGCCTTGATTTTAATACACAGAGGCGAGATATATGAAGCACAGCTAGCTCTTAAAATAAGAGCCAGAACGGCAGAGAAAACCACAGATCACATTCCCTGTATTTAGTAATCATCGTAGACAATGTAGAATGGAAATTGACGTGCCTCCCTGGCCCGGGATTCCTCCAATTTCCCCGGATGCAATTAACACTCATCTGAACTTAACTAATCAAAATAAAATGCAAATGTCTCCTGGTCACACCGGTAGCAGGACATTGGGAAGGGACCGTCAAAAGATATATTAGATTAGGGATGTAAAGTCGTGCCAATTAGGAGAAGCCCTTTGGATCCCATCAATCTCCAGTCATCTACAGTTGTATGAAGAAGAAATGGCCACAACCATGAAGTCACATTGGTGGCCACACCCATATGGCCAAATTGGTGGTCACAGCTATGGAATTAAAGCCCACCCCTCAAATGGATAGAGGTAGTCCTTGACGTGTGACCACAGCTCAGCCCAAAATTTCTATTGCTCAGTGAGGCCATGGTTAAATCCAACATCCAGTTTTGGTCACCACGATGTAAAAAAAAGATTTTGAGACTCTAGAAAGAGTGCAGAGAAGAGCAACAAAGAGGATTAGGGGACTGGAGGCCAAAACATATGAAGAACGGTTGCGGGAACTGGGTATGTCTAGTTCAATGAAAAGAANGAATGGGAGGAAGAACAAGAACAGAGGGAGAGAGAGGGAGGGAAGGAGGAAGAGAGGAATGGGAGGAAGAACAAGAACAGAGGGAGAGAGAGGGAGGGAAGGAGGAAGAGAGGAATGGGAGGAAGAACAAGAACAGAGGGAGAGAGAGGGAGGGAAGGAGGAAGAGAGGAATGGGAGGAAGAACAATAACAGAGGGAGAGAGAGGGAGGGAAGGAGGAAGAGAGGAATGGGGGGAAGAACAATAACAGAGGGAGAGAGAGGGAGGGAAGGAGGAAGAGAGGAATGGGGGGAAGAACAAGAACAGAGAGAGAGAGAGGGAGGGAAGGAGGAAGACAGGAATGGGGGGAAGAACAAGAACAGAGGGAGAGAGAGGGAGGGGAGGAGGAAGGGAGGGAGGAAACCCAATTTACCGTACAGTCCTTGACTTCTAAAACTTTCCTTTTGCAAAACCCTTTGGAGCCCAGATCAGGGGGAAGCCCGGAGACTTTCTGTAGGCGACTCCGTCAGGTTCGGAATATGTAAAAAATAAATCCTACTTTTTGAAATTTGCAAATGGGAGGTTCCACATTGGCCCGTAATTGTGCTTTTAAATGTTGCCCATTCGCTAAACGGGTAAGCCAGCCCTCCATGCTGAAAAGGGAGGATATGGGGGTGGTGGTGCAGGAGGGTGCCTCAGTTCCCTGATCCTTACCCACTCGGTAGGACCAGGGGCTCCCCTGGGGTCCTTCACATTCCCAGCAACGGCTGCTGCAAATTCTCCGAGCGCAAGGATGGGTCTCATCATCGGACACCACTGAGGGGGGAAGAGGAGGGAAGAACACAGGGCGTCCACCAGTAGAAACTCAGGAGGAGAAGCGTTGTCTTCTGTGTTACTCACCCCTCCATTATTGGGGAGGGACACCCCCGGGCCAGATCTCTCCCAAGGCTCTACAGCAGGGGTGTTCAAACTTGGCAACTTTAAGACTTGTGGACTTTCAACTTCCAGAATTCTCCAGCCAGCATAGCTGGCTGGAGAATTCTGGTAGTTGAAAGTCCTCAAGTCTTAAAGTTGCCAAGTTTGGAGACCTCTGATTTAAGCCATGGCTAGTGCAGAAGAGGCCAGAGAGTGGCTGTGGTGCCCCAGCAGTAAATAGCTAGTGTAGGAATTAAGAACGGTCTCCTTCACTTAACAAGGGCAGCAAGACTGTTGGTGGCGCAATACTGGAAGAAGGAAGATTTGCCTACTATTCAAGAATGGACGTTAAAAGTAACAA